AATAAGTAACTATTAGCTTAATTCCAGTAATTCATAACATCGGTCATATTTGCTACGATAAGTAATTCATAACATAACAATATAACTACTAAAAACAACCATTAGGCTATAATACGAAAATTAAATCATACCAAAAATTCTTGTTCTGTGTATGTTGCTCGGTTTTGTTTGCTGAAATTTGAAGAGGGAGAGGGATTACATTTTTACAACTCCTGGTGGGAGTGTTATTTAAAGGAAAATCGACCAGCATTCACCGTTTTTGTCTCAAACGGCGAACAACATCACCGCGTTTGTCTCAAACGGTGAACATTAGGTGGTTGTGACCTAATTTTCACCTACCAGGGGTGGGAAACAATCACCGCCATAACCTAGGGCGGTGAAGATGTTCCCCGCTTTGTCCTAAAATGGTGACGTGTTCACCGCTTTTAATTTACACGGTGATGTCTTCACCGTTTTTGTTAAACGCGGTGAACACTTCACCGCTTTAGTTAAAGACGGTGAACACGTCATCGTTTTATTCAAAAACGGTGAAATGTTCACCGTGTTTGTCAAACGCGGTGATTATATTCACTGCGTTTGTCAAAAACGGTGAATGTGAAACATGTGTACTTTTGGGGGAAAATTATAACTTATGTATTTTGGGAATTTTTTTTAAGAACTAGTGTACTTTGGGATTTTTTCCAAACATTTGTATGAAGAACCACTGGATTAGGAAATGATTCGGCGGGATTTGCTATAATGTTCAATCATTCGGCCAAAACACGAGAGTAGGAGAAAGTCCTTGAGTCTAGTTTAAAGAAGATGAAGATCAGACATTTAAATTCCAATATAATTGAGGAGATAGCATTGTTGTTAAACGCCTTCTTATTTTGAGATTTCGTGTAAATGATACATAAATGAACAGTGAACAATGTACAATGTGATTGATCCAAGGTTGTTGTAACACCCTACCTTGTACGTTTTGCCTAATCATATTGTTCATACAATTGCAGCGGAATTTAAAACTAGTGTTACATTAATTACCAAAATTTACTCAAATAAAATTTCGACATGAACTACTCGCGTAATGGGCTAACAGTTCTTGTAACTAAATCCTGCAAAATAATTTATCTGAATCCCTGCATCCATAGACATACACATATACCCATAACCATATATATTGGCTTTCATAGCCATAGTCACAATTTCAAACTCCACAACTGCATACCTTACTAAAACATGTCATAGTCGTCACAACTTACAGAACCACGCAAATATACACATATCAACTTTCCACACCTGTGAATATGTCACACTACATCAGAAGCTAGTATGCACATGAAAAATGTTCTCAAATATACACATATCAACTTGCCTTCAACTCTTGTTCAACTCCCACCTCTATACCTATATACTGCTGATGATGATGATGATCTGCTTACACATGGCATAAGCAGAGAAAAAGGATAAAGAGGGTCAGCTCATGGCAGAGTGAGACAATCATTGCGTCGTGAGTTCATAACAAAGCATACTCCTACCATACATCTAGCAATCAAGCCAAAAACACTAGGATCGGACCTCAGCCATCCTCATATCCTGATGGACAAAAAACTCAACCACCTTGACTTATGCATATGCGTCTTATCATGTTTTACTTATAGGCGCCTGGCTACTCCCATGCTAATAACTCTCCCGGACCACCATACACACCCAGCATCCCGTAGGATGTGATCATACATACATACATACCCCCATACCACCATAGGTGAAACCATACCCGACACCAATCTTGGTGTGGTCATATCTCGTGAATAATCTTCAGTCACCACCACATGAGACGTGTGACTATCATGCATATCATAATCTTCAGTCAGCACCACAAGAGAGGTGTGACTATCATATCATAACAGAGTAATAGCATGGGGAGCCCTAATTACTATGTAATTGACTGTGAGACCAAAACACTCATATTTGGTATCCTTATACATGATTCATATCTCATCTTGCTTAATCATAATTCGTTACTTGTACATGTACTTGACCTGGCCATAATTGGCTCAACATCGGTAAACCAGGAGTCGTATAGTTGCACTTCCTCGGTATAAACCCTCGTGCAAGTCATCCTCCTTAAAACATCATAATATCACCCTGGGAAGTTTCTTTCCCCCCACTTGTGAATCCAAACACAACCACAATATCACATCATGTCAAAACACCTGATCGAACAACCATGAAGCCATATCAACAGTTAAGCCACAAATGGCAACATGTATGCAATCATCAACTTAAACAATGTCCATATCAATTAGGGCAAGTCAATAATATCATACAGCAGTCCAGTGTTCAACATATAGCACAAAATTTCACACACTCCTAATCATGCCATTCTAGTTCACCGAGGTCAATTCTAAGCATCAATATAATTATCGTGATACGACAAAATTGGTATGCCATGCTAATCCCTCACCAGTTCTGGTCGTTCAAATACCGGTTCTAGCCTCTCGTACCACAACTTCACTTTTCTCAAACAAACCCGGAATCAAAATCCGAGATTGTCCTAATATCCCCTGCAGTATCCCCATCAATGTTAGTTCTAGACTCCGGGTGAGATTGTCGATAAAAACACATCAAATCCTAGTCGGAGCTAAAATCAGCGATTTGGACCCCGACCTAAATCATTGCCGAAATTCATGGATTAGAACCGGAGGATGCAGGAAGCTCGTATATGAAATCCGGGCTAAATCCGGCTTCCAGATACTCCGAAACCCTAATTTGGCTTATTGGGAATTCAAGAAATTTCTGATCCAAAAACTCGTTTTAAAGCTCTAAATCGATAAACTACGATATATAGATGTATTAGGCGTTACTTACGGGATTTTTGGATCAATAGAGCTCAAGAATCGAGCTTTGGAAATTTCTCACTAGCTCCCCTGAGCGCGCTCTGCTTCTCTGTTTTCTCTCGGTCCGGAAATGGAAGAAGAGGAATAGGATGGGAAATAAAATGGACCGGGGGAAGGATATAAATATATAAGGGATAAATTACAAGTTTGGTCACTTGAATTACTATAAAATTTCATATTTGCCACTAGAATTATTTTATTCCATTCATGGTCACTTAGATTAGTTCAACAGTTCAAGTTTGGTCAGTCTCCGTTATGTTTATCCTATGTAGCAGTCAACATTCATAGTTGACCGTTAAATAGATGACGTGTCTATTTAAATAATAAAAAAATAAAAACTTACAAATTTCCACCTCACAATCTCAAGCCATTCAAAAATCGAAAAAATAAAACTAATTTATTTTAAGGCCTCGCCAGTCGCCACCGTTGGAAGCAGGTGTTCGGAGGCAGAGAGCTCTCCCGGCAGAAACAATAAGTAGTTCTAGACAACGACGACGCTCCTCCTCTCTTCCTCTAAACCAGCAAGTCGCGATGGCAGCCGTCGCGAATCCCGATTGTGGTGGTGGACGATGGTGGCTTTCCCTCCCTCTCTCTCTTCTCGCGGCATACGAGCAAGAGACAATCAAGGACGGATGAGATCTGACGACAAGGGCGGCGGTAGCTCTCAATGAGAAACAAAATAGGAAGATATACTCATCATTGTCGCCGGTGGATGTCAAACCGGCACCTCCATCTTATACCCTAACAACAAACAAAAACCCAATTCAAGATTTAAAGAAGGAATAGACTTCTCACCTAGACAGAGATCCATTATGAGCTCAGATTTATACTTCCCCTGTTTCATTAACAACCATTGAAATCAAAAATCCAAACACAAAATCGATTGACTTTACAAACTGATTGAGAAAACTTTCTTATCCCCCATTGAAACACCAAACTTGCAATACAGTGAAAAGTCAAAATGAAGAAGAATCATACCTCTATTGAAACCATAACGATATTGCCTCCGGAGTAGCGCCGCGGTGGCAAACCAAAGCATTATCTATCCTTCTTCACCCCTGGTTGATGTTTGCTACTGCCATGGGATTTATGGGCTGCCCTTTCGGCATATCTACCCACCGCGAAACCTCCCTCTTTCAGTTTCCCGTCTGTCGACGCCTCAATCTTTGTCATCAAAACCCACTTGACCTCCCTTTCTGGGGTCAATTTTGGATGGAAATCGAGGAATAGGTTCGGAAAGAAAAACAATGAGTAGATATAGACAACGACGGCGGCTGCGGAGGAACGAAAAACATATTAGTAATTGTGAGATCGGCGCTCCGGGAGAGCTCTCTGCCTCCCAACACCAGTTTCTGCTTCCAACGGTGGTGAGGGCTTAAAAGAAATTAGTTTTATTTTTCTAATTTTTGAATGGGTTGAGATAGTGAGGTGGAATTTTGAAAATATTATTTTTTAATTTTTATTATTTTTAAATAGACATGTCAGCCATTTAATAGTCAACTGTGAGTGTTGACTGCCACATAGGATAAACATAACAGAGACTAACGGAGAGTGACCAAACTTGAATTGTTGAACTAATTTAAGTGACCATGAATGGAATAAAATAATTCCAGTGGCAAATGTAAAATTTTATAGTAATTCAAATGACCAAACTTGCAATTTACCCAATATAAGTGGTCTGTGACGGCTTGATGTAATTATATATAATATATAATATAATTATAAAATTATATATTATGTATATATAATTAATACGTATACTTATCCGATCAATCGATATTTCGCTTTTCGTCGAAATATTATCAAAACACTCAACTTAAATCGCATATTTTTCTAACGACCGAAATATGGGTTTTGCCGAAATGGGATGTTACAGTTGTCATTGCCACAAATCAATTTTAGCTTCGACAAGATGCACAAAAGAGGTGGAGGTAGACATCTCAGATTTTGAATGAGATAGGAAATTGGCTAAGTTGCCATTCAAGATCTCCATTATATTCAGCACCACAACAAATACACAAACAACAAATCGAGGTAACAATCTGTACAGTGTAATCATAAAACTAAGACAATACTGGTCACCCAAAACACAGGTATCTCTACTGCCTCCCTATAGCGCTATTATACCTTATCTACCATCTCTGTTAGGATTGTTTCTTCATCTTCTTCTTCTTCAATCATCTCCAAATCAGAGGCATCCTTAGGATCAACCTGCACCACCCACATAGATACATACACTCAGCCACTGGTCGGAACCCGCAAAAATTCTAACAAGACTGAAGAATATTTGATGAAATTACCTCAAACCGGGATGCTGAAGAACACGAAGGGACGATCATAAAAAAAAAATTGATGAAGATATATAGGTTAATCTCTGTGTTTCCAATGTTAGTTCTTTACTTTTCCCGGGTTCTGCAGCGAGCAATTGTCACTTGACCCTTTCTTCCTGAAGCATCTTCTTCTGGTACCTTGGGAGCCCCTTCTGGCAAGCCGAGATCTACAACCATCACAAACAAATACCACCACACCCAGTTAATAAAACCAAACAAGCAAACGAATCGAATCGAAGAAAAACAATTCCTTCTAGTACTAATTCGTTGTTCGACAAAAAACAAGTCGTCACAGTTAACATAACAACCATGATTTCTCCAAAAAAAACAAAAAACGGTCGGACCTTCTGGCGGGCGAGCCATTTGTCATTGTGGCCGTAACGTAAACAATGGCTTAGCTGGCGGCGGACGGGCCGATGGCGACGGATGAATGAATCTTGAGGCAAGTTGGACAAATTGGTTCGGTTTTTTTTATGACGACGACACAACGATGTAGGCAGAAATGCAGACATTTGGACCCTTCCTTTTTATTATTTTTCTTTATCATTTGAATTTTTCATTTCTATTCCTCAAATGTCAAATTAGAACGTCCTCGCCACCACTTGCGAGGGCGGCTGCCCATTACAAGCCGTCTCATTACCAAAAAAAACAATAGGACCATATCACTCTATCACCAGCACATGTTAGTTAAGCCCTCGAATAATTGAGTTTCGAATCTCCTGATTAAGTGACATTTTTATATTATTCAGAAATAATTATTATGAGTTAAATTTTGAAACTTTTATGTAGAAATTGAGAGGAAGATGGCGATCCATACAGAACGACGACGTTAGAATAGATTCCCATGTCGAGGAGGAAGGAAAAAGGTTAAAAGATAAATGAGAAACGAATAATAAAAACACCTGACTAATTCAAACGGTCAGTTTTTGACCTTTCCACATAAACGAACAAAAGTTCAACGTTCCATCCACACCTACTGGCTTGATTTTCTTCTTTTTTTTTTTTTTCCTTTTTCCGTTGCATAATTTTATTTCTCTGCAGAAAAGTTTTACTTTTTTACTTTTGCCCCTGAAAAATCTGTAGAATCAAATTCACGGGTTCTTGAATGACTACAACTACAACACCCTACTACGTTTGGTTAGTCTACCAGTTGATTTTCTAGAACGCGCCAATCCTTTCACTCTTTGGTAAGCAAAAGAGCCAACAGCCGAGGTGAAGTTTTCTAGGCATTTTAACCAGTTATTCCCATTGGGCGGTTGTCAGAGTACTCCCCGGAATTTACTGCTCAAGCTTTTACTTTTTTTACGAAAGGAATTTACTGCTCCTAATAATTATCGCATTTTAGGCGCACAGCTGGTTTAGTGGACTTCGTAATTCAGTAATTAATAACACACTAAAAAACTGACAATCTAGAAGGAGAGGGAAACGGGAAAGTGGAGAGGGAAAGGGAAAGGGAAAGGGAACGGGGAGAGAGAATCCGCCATAGCCATAACTCATAGGTTTAGGTGATTTGAAGAAGAGAGGACTGAGCTGAGGACTCGTTAATTTGATATCCAGTTGGTTGCTCCGTGAGACCTAAGCAGCTAAGCTAGATTTTCGAGGTAGCTTCGAACTGGTTTCCTTTTGCGGGAAGAAAAAATACACCTAAATGAGAAATCAATGGGAGGATAAGGAAACTTACAGCTTCAATGTCGATTTTGTAGACCAGAAGCTTCCTCCGCTCCCTGCAACTCGTTCGGTACGCCACGACGACGTGGCCAATCGCCAGAAAGAGCGAGCAAAGGAACAGAGCAGCCTCCATCCCGCGGACGTACCCGCCCCGATCGATCCGGTAGGCGCTGAAAACGTACGGCGCCTTCGCGGAGACGTAAATCAGCGAGCAGACGGAGCAAATCGCCGTGATCCCCAAGTACGGCCCCCGAGACAGCCTCGGCCCGTCGCAGAAGCTGTAAACGCCTGAAATCGTTGGCAAAAAACAACACAAATCGGAATCAGAATCGAATTGAGCTAGCCGCGAGAGTGAGAGAGAAGATGTGGAAATTGTTAATTTCAGTTTTCAGTAGTGATTTCACTTACAGAAGATGACGGCGGATCTAAGGATGGAGACGAGCGGGATGTCGACAAGGGAGTAGCGGAAATCGTAGTTGCTCAGGTCGGCGGCGAGAGTGCTGAAGGAGAGGGAAGAAGGGGATAGGGAGGCGGAGAGGAGGGAGGCTGGGAGGAGAGTATCGGCGATTACGAGGAGTACCGGAGCTGAGAAGACGAGGAAGGAGAAGATCATTACGATTATGAAGAACACTGTCTTCACTCCTCTCAGGACTCTCTTCGATTTCTCTTCCTTCAAGAATCCCATCTTCGATTGATTCAACGCCTTTTTCGCTTTCCCTTCTCCTATGGCGCTTTCTATGAACATAAGAGAGAGAGAGAGAGAGAGAGAGAGAGCTCCGCTGCTGGAAAAGTGCGAATTGGGGGCGAGAGAAGGAAGAAGAAGAAGAGAAGAAACTTAAATGGTGAACGGGCTTTGATTTTTCTAAATTTTTTTTTTTTTTTTTTGTTTGTTTGTTTGGGGCCTTTGGGGTTTATTGGAAACAGCCGAATTTGAATCAAATTGGGGGATTTATTAATTTAATTGGAAACAATGTTAAGAGTGGAAATTGAATATTGAGGATATATAAAAAGAAATGGGGAGCTCGAGATACAGAAGTGAGGTGGAGGGAGGGAGGGAGGTTGAACAGACTTTTGACTCGTAGGTGACAAGCATCCCACGAGAAATTTCAGGTCAAACAAAGCGAGCCCCTATTGATGGCTGAGATTTGAGAAGCGAAAATTCTAAGAGCTAACACACATTAGCAAAATAGTAAAATGTTGGTAGAGAAATTTTACAATGCTATATAGTATTGGTGCTATAGGATTTTGTTTTTATGGTACAACTTAAAATTGTACATTTACGTTATGGTACAACTTCAGATTGTACCTATACTTTTTATATAAATTCTTTTATGGTACAACTTGAACTTGTACCTTTATGTGATGGTACAACTTCAAGTTGTAAAGTTGTACCATAACATAATGGTACAAATTGCTTTATGGTACAACCTAAACTAATACATTTAATGTTATGGTACAAGTTTAAATTGTACATTAAAGCACCAATACTATATAGCATAGTAGAAGTGCTCATGTTGGTAAGGTTTTATAACAATGGATATGGTGAATTTCGTTTTGTTTTTTTTTTACTAACATGGAATATTAAATGATTTATTTACTTTATTTGGTGCAGAGTAATTACTATTTAAATCATACCGGTAATAATATGAGATTACCTTATAGAGTTATACATAAGGGAAAATCGATTAGTCAAATTTATGTTACATACCGTTTGATATAAATGAATTCCACAAATTTTGAGTAATTCATTTTGAAATGAATCATTTTTGTGTTTGGTATTTAAAAGAATTCATATTAAATTCTAAATTTTGAATTCTATGGCATTGGAACTAGTTATAGCAATTCCGAGGAATTGAGATGGAATTTCCAAATGAATTCCACAATTATTTACTAATTATAATAGAATGACATAATTATCCTCTTTTATTAACTAAATTACTTATACATATGGCATACCAAACATAGGAATTCATTTGACAATGAATTCTACACGACAATTCATTCTATTTCCAAAGATTTGAATATAACATAAGTAGGGGTGGGAATCGGTCGGTAAACGGTAAATTGTTTACCGAATTTACCGATTTCGGTATACCGACACTGGCAAAACCGTTTACCGTTTACCGATACCGGTTTGTAACCGGTTTACCGATTACCGAATTACCGATAAACGGTTACAAACCGGTTTACCGAATTACCGCAAGGGCGACGTGGGGGCAGGTTCGATAAACGGTTTTTGGGGGTGGGCATTCCCATAATTTACAGTTTTTTACATTCCCATTCGTGGTGACAGTACTAATTAACAACGGTGGTGAATTGAGAAATATACTAATTAAGAAGAAGAGAGAGGGAAATTGAGTTGAATTTCTCACTTGGGTTCCCTTTTGGTGTAATTATATGATTTTGTTTCGTTAGCTAGGGTGTTGTTTTGTTTAATCAACACGAGCGGCCCCTGCGACAACCCAAAGCACCGGCAGTGGAAGTCATCATGCCAACCAAGGATGATGGCTTTGCTCCTAAGCTGGAAGCTCTGGCGTAGCTGGCTCCTGCTCCTGATGCTCTGAAGTATGCCCCATTCAGAAACAAATCCCCTTGTGATCTCCAGTTCCAGCTCTTCCACGTCCCACCGTTGGTGTCCGCTCTCTTTGTCACCTGCCATTTTCATCATCCAATTTTGATGAACGTCTCAACCAGAGCAGCAACAAACACAAGAGAAAAGGCAATTTGTACCAAGTCATCAAGTGTTGCATAATCTAAATTACCTCCTTGGATGACAGAACTTCTGTTTTGGGTTCGGTAAACGGTTTACCGATTTACCGTCGGTATTTACCGATACCGGATTCGGTAAACCGATACACCCCAGGCCACGCTCGGTCACCGATACCGTCGGTAAACGGTTCGGTAAAACGGTAAACCGTTTACCGACAAACCGAATCCCACCCCTAAACATAACAAACACAATATTTCATTTGACAATGAATTCTACATGGTAATTCATTTTACAATGAAATGAATTATTGATTCATTTGGTACCAAACAGTCTGTTAATCCAAATTTGACGACAGGTCCACTACGTACCTTAAAGTTATCTTCACCTCAAAATTTTCACGTTGTCACGACTAGCAAGTGATATTAAAAAAGGAGAGGAACTGAGGAAGGAGTGGAAGAGATCACATTTTGGTAACTCTTTTGTTCTGGCAATACGTCTTCCTATTCCATCTTTTCTCGAATCTCATTTAACAGAAGAAATAAAAGCATGAGAAGAAGCAACAAAACCTAGTTCACTCATTGAATATCTTTGCGTCCATGACTGAATGGTTAAAGCGCGCAACCTAATAAAGGCTAAAAGAGCAAATTCGCAAGTTTGATTCCTGCTCAATGCATTTGGAACTTTCAGTTGATTGGAATCGCTGCTCACATAAAGCTTGAGCCGTTTGTTGAGTTGGAGGGGTAGTGTTGAACTTTTGATTATTCTCCTAAAGGCTTGGATGGTGCATAACTTTTAGTTTGAACTTTGAGGTTGAAAAATAAAAAATGCAAGAAGCCAAATCGTGAAAGTTGGTGGAAATTTTAGGTACAAAACAAGAAAATTATTAAGAAATAAATAAATGTCAGAGTGGAGCTGTATATAAACTTCCAGAAGGAAAGGAAGTGATAATATATCGTACAGCCAGCAAGTGATAATACTATTAATTCAATAAAACAAATGTGATAATAATAGTTACAAAATACAAATACATATTTGTTCCTTCTTCCAAAGTAAGAGTAAATGACAACATAATAAAATAGGGTTATAGATATAATATGCCTTTATTATGTCGTTTTATCAAATATGCTCCTCTACTATTTTTTACATCAAATGATCAAACATGCCTCTATACTTTGGAAAAATGATAAACATGTCATTCTGTAAAAATTTTCATCCAAAAATCATCAATCATGGTTGAATCGAGATTTAGACGACCCGACATCGGCAAATGGGAGGGAAAATGTCAGTTTTGTCTCCTATTTTAGTTCTCTGGGTCCTATCAAAGTGAAATTATTAGAATTATTTGGCTATACAAAATAACAAAAAAAAAATTCTAAAGTGAAATTATTAGAGATATTTGTGTCGTCCAAACCAAAGTTTGGTCGTGGTTAACGGTTTTTGGATGAAAATTTTAACAAAAAAGCTTGTTTGATCATTTTTCCAAAGTACAGGGACATGTTTAATATAAAACGTAGTAGATGTACATGTTTGTTAAAGCGACATAAGAGAGTGACATAGTATACATATAAGTATAACCCAATAAAACAATTGAATATGTTAAGCGCATGCAGTCAATTAGCAGCCAGTAAGTAACCAATTTAGCAACCAATCAAGGAAGCGGCTATGGTGGAACAGACCAGACCGTTGGTATCATGCGCCCACATGCAAACCTTCGTGGTTGCGAATCTTATCAACCAAAATTCGCTTCATTTCCTTCGTCGTTTCATGATTTCCCTTTTGATTCACCATAGTGCCGATATAAGCACAATGCACAAGATTCAATCTGGGATTTAGAATGCCATTTTCTACATAAAAAAAATATATCATCGGCAAGTTGGAGTGGCAATGTTGGGAGGTGAGTTTGGTCGGCTTCAACGTTTGGAAAGAACGGTGCACACGAACATATATGGATATAATATTATAATACGATATTAAGGTCGAGTCAAAGTCCATTTTTCTTTTCGGAAAGGAACAACGAGATACGAGTATATATATATATATATATATATATATATATATATATATATATAATACATTATTTTTGCAGGCCAATTCACAAAGCATGAAGGAGATAGGATTGCTGGTCAACAAGTTGTTAAACCAACGATAAGAGAGTTTGTTTTGTCATGATATAGACGACCATGTAATACCTACAATGAGCGAAATGAAACAGAATACGATGAAAAGACGACCTTAACACCTGAACTTCTTTGAAAATAGCAGCACCCAAGTCCATCTATTTATCTATATTATAGAATTTTAAATTTAAATTTCATAATTTCAAATTTTATCCACATTTAGCAACTTTTTTTTATTCTCTAACATTATCATTATTACAACTCCTCGAGGTGAATCTTACGCTCTACCATTACCAATAAACTAACAAATGATTCTACCTAGTTTTGTTTTGTCAGTAGTACGGTCACTATATTTTGTAGGAAAAAGGGATTTGTTTTAAAATTTCCCTACTCCTTAATGAAATTATGATTAACCATATATTTCACACATTATTTAATACTATGGTTAATATTTTTAATTGGAATCCCTTATAGTTATTTTTAGAATGAATCGTTATATTGAGTGAAACTCTCGTGGTTTTCACTTTGGTTAAAACTTAAAAGTTAAAACCAAAGATTAAAAACAAACCCCACGACTAAACAGATGGGGAGCAGGGTAAAAAGAAGTGAACGGCTATTTGCCGCCAACTAAAAAAAATGAATTCAAATTTTGAATTTTCCCTTCCTTCCCAGTGCCTCCGTCGCCGACAAAAAAAAATGAATTCAAATTTTGAATTTTCCCTTCCTTCTCAGTGCCTCTGTCGCCGGCACCGTTCTTCCGTCGTCGGCTAACCTCCCGTCGCCCTCAATCGTCGGAAAACAAGTAAGTTTACTTTTTCCGGTAAGTTTTCCAGTTTTCCGGCGAAAAACACGGCGGGC